AAAAATCCGTTCGCTCAAAGGCAAAAGTGACTTCCTAACTAAAACCTAGATTTTGCTGAAAATCTTGAACGTTGTAGATACCTAAATGAGTTTGGATTCGATTCAAAAAACTCTATGTCTTATGTTAATAATGTTTGATTGATTCTAATTATAATCGAATTCGATTAGAGATAGACGCGAGTGTGATCTTCTTGTCTGAGAAACCTAGATCGAAAAATATTTTATGAGTTTAAATTAAAATTGTTTCTCTTATGAAGAGCTGGACATTAACATATTAATAGTTTTAGTATCCCACGCTGCTCGAGTAACTTGAAGAATCAAATAAACATGATGAAATGTAAGTTATGTTTGGAGACTTACGATTTCATCTATGAAAAAAGATCATTTCCATCAGAATAATACCTTCCTTTTGATTATAAATTAAATAAATTAAATATTCTGTCTGACTATGTCACTTTTCATTGACGAAAGTGAAAAACTGCAAAAGTGACATTCTTTTCAGTATCAAAACATGGTTTTCTTCATGCTTGCCACATGAAATAAAAGAAATCTATGCTATATTTTTATTTGTGGTTAGCCACTGATAACTTCATTTTCCATGCATCAAATAGTTTCCATTTTTCTAAAACTTTGTAAACTTGTCTAAATGCTCAACTATTATAAAAAAAACCAATCGATATGGGTAGTCGTCTGTGATTTTCTTAGCCGAAAAAAACTGCTCAGTACTTCTTGTATTTAACTTTGACTGCTTCGAATTGTTTCTACGTTTATTTAAACTTTTCTCCTGATTTTGAAAATATCATCTTCCTGCTTTGACTTCTACCAGCTACTCCTAATTATAGCTAAACGATGATCAGATGAAAATAATCGATCCCAAAAAAAGACAGAACCGAGTTCTTCCCTTGCAATCAAATCTATCTAATAAGAACAAAAACATTATTCGTTTAGAATATGTTATCGTTTATCAAATCACCTTACGTATTAGTTAATTGAGAAGGGAAGAAATATATGTGACGCTCGAAGATCAAGAAAAAATATTCGATAACTATATACTAGGATGACGTTTTTTTACTCCAGTCAAAACAATTGAAAAATCTTGGATATGAATTTTTGCAAAATATCAAGTTACATAGTAAAAAAAAGAACTTTGAGTTGTTGTACCGATTTGAGGAATCTACAACGGTTCAGCAGATCAAGATCCGAGCTTTCTTTTTAGGTTTGAAAAATCGATACAAAACCTCAAAGGTTCGTCACCCTGGAGACAAGTTCGGTAATAAATCGATGTTTTAAAGAGTGTATAGTAGCTATCTTGCGACTGTAACAATTTTTTTTCTTTTTCGGATAAAAACTAGTGATCTTAAATGATTTACACTGAGTTACAGTGATTTAAATCAGTCGATTTCTCCTTGTCCCATTCGTATTCGCATCCAAACCAACAGGTACTTCTCAAACTCAAAGCTTAGTTTTAGTCAATCTGACATGATCGATATGTAAGTCTACTCTGCGTTATCTTGGCTTTCTGGCAAAGTATTCAATTATTCATATATTTTTTTTGAAGAGTTCCAACTCGTGAAATGTCTAACCGCTATAACTTGAAGAAAGTAATATAAAAAGATAAATATGTATAAATGAGATCATCTCTTTTTTTTCATGCTAAATAGATAATAAACAAACCATTGCTTACGTGCACTATGGATTCATGGTAACAAATGTTTGTCTAAAAGCTAGACTTTTTTTTTGAGAATACTGCACTACACTTTTTCATTGATGAGAAATTCCAATAAAACTCTAATTTTCTAGCTAAACAATAAAATTGAAGAAATAAAGAATAGTTCACAAGAACACTTCGCTTTAGAAATTCTTGTCAAGAATTCTCATGTTATAAATCTAATGATTTTTCGAAGTAAGTGCATTCTGCGATCAGATGGAATGTAAATCAAAAACAAAAAGGATGGTCTTATAGAGGAATAGAATTAGACATGGCAGTGGGTAGCCGACGAGCGACTAGCCATGGCGCTAGAAAATTCCCTGAAAACAATCCGTCAAGTTGTTAGAATTCATTGGAAAAATGTCAAAAGTGTACATCTGATGGGTTTGAGTAGAGATTAGAAGTGGCAAAAAATTGAGAAATATTTTCAAATAAAGTATGAATATAGTTTTTCTGTACGGGCATAATATTTGAAAAGTACATTGAACGGAAAGCATCACTCAAAGAGTTTATATTCACTTTATCGGAAACAAAATTGAATGAAATAAAATGAATTTTTCTGTTTGGTATATGTCCTTGTCTGTGTTCCTTCACGTGCTCGAATGTATTCGAGTATATTGAAATTAGCTGTCTAATCTGATGGATACTTTCAATAGGAGCGTCACTAATGAGGCACATTTCGATTACATATCAGATCTAGTATAATTTATTTGGAGCTAGAAGTTCAGCTGAACTCATGTTTTTGTAGTGGACGCTCTGGCAAACGACAGTGTCAGTTGATATGCTAGTAACCATAAGAACTTTTAGCAGAGTTTTCAAGGAGTATGAAGCGTTTTCACTCTTGTGTCACAGATGAGTTTTGCTTCGTGATCAAGGGGGAATCGACAAATTGTGAGTTTGGGATTTAAAATGAGTTTCGGTGAGTTTAGTGGAGTTTGAATCAACTCGAGTGATTTTAACTGATATACATCATTCATCATAGTAGCTGAATTTCGAATTGATTATGATCGTTGTTTCTCTTTCCATAAAGGGATTAAATGTAGCGAATCTATATTCACTAGAATCAAGTGTTTCTCTAGACCGGAAAGAGGTTTTTGGTAAACTCATTGCTGAAACAATTATGTAAAATAGAAAATTAATAAAGATACAGTGGATCATACTTTAACTTGATCCATAGATGTCTTTTAGAGATGCTATCTCTGAATATCTTATAGTAAAATGTGTCAACGATCATAGTGTGAGATGGACTGGACTTAAGTTCATTCTCTAATAACATTGCATAAAAAGATAATTTATGACTTTTTTCTTATATTGCAAAATGATATTGAAAAACAATAGAAGAAAAAAAAATTGTATTATTTGTTGTACCCTTTTCAACCGATCAGAAGACAAGATAGATTTTGTTTTGGAAACGTACCAGTTTGCAGTCTGTTTGTGCATGTATTTGATACGACCATTGACTTCAACGGAAAAAAAAGAGTCTGATTGATCACTATTGACAGAATCGAATAAACGCATCCCTCGAATGATGGAACTAGATACATTTGGAAGACAATCAAGACCAAATTCATCCATTGACGTTAGTTCATCATTTTCATTCATAATATCATCCTCAATAGATTCCTTGTTAGGTTGATGTTTTTCATTATCATCATTTTCGTTTTCCTCTTCATCTGCATCCTGATCTTCACCATCGCCCTCATTGTCGTCTTCATTATCATATGATTCAGAAGAATTTTTATTGGAAGTTGTACATATTGATCTTGATAATCTTTTGTATGCTAAATTATTCATTTCTTCAAAAGATTGCATCATATCATGAGGATTAACATTAGAAAGTTCGCATTGAGATAGAATCTGATTAGCTTTAATGTAAGCATTAAAAACTGTTTCTTCAATCAATTGTTCTGTAATCGTAGTTGATATTGTAGACGTTGAATGTACTTGAAAATGTTGTTTAGATTGTTTGTGATGTTTGGGAAATCTAATATTATTGTTCTTGGATTCAGACGAACACTTGACACTTTGAAGAACAGCGAGTTTCTCGACATGCTGAAGAAACTCGTGAACAGTAAAGTTCACCACAGATGAAAATGGACCGGATATCGAACGAGCTGCATGGAAAGTACTTTCGCATACTTGTGAATTACATAAAAAAACATTTAATGCTTCTTCAGTAATTTTCTGTTCAGCTCATAGAACAACCAGATACGTCAAGCTATGTGCATTCAGTTCGAGTGAGAAAAGAGCAGGTACTATGATAAAGAAGTTCTTGTTTGGAATAATTCTACCAGCGTCACTTGAGAGCAAATTCGAAGCTCTCTCCTTAAGTTCATCAGCCGCTGTCTCGTGTAACCACGCAGACCAGATCCGTATAATAAAAACTGAACACCAAGCATAGTAAAGACGATCAATTATATTAGTGCTTTTGTCGATAAAGGCCAAATGAACACATTTTATGACCTATCAAAATGAAATTAATAAAATTTGACCGTTCAGCAGTACTTAGTAATGAGGTAGCGAAAACTTTTAAACAACTTTCGTTATGTCATACATAATATTTTGAAAGAGAACTACCTCGATTATATCATATCTAACGATTCCATACTTAGAAAAAGCAAAAAATATTACTTGTAGATAAGCTTGGGTTGCTTGAGAATTCGAAACATTTTTAATAGAAGAAAAAACAGCATCACTCGTGATCTTTTCGCAGGATGAATAATTTTGTTTGTCCTTTGGGCAAACATCTGATATGCCTAATCCATGATCGATCTTTGAATGGTTCTCAATCAATTCCACGAGATGTTTAATGCTGGCATACCTTTTCCCTATTAATAAAATTGTTTTGAAGACAAAAGACGGTTGCGCAGCTTAGTACATAAATGTGGCGCATCTTGTAAACATACAAATAGCTGTGATGATCTCAAAAAAAACCATGAAGTTTTCTAAACAATGGAAAACAAGAATGAGAATAAATTCATGTGCTTGGACATTGTTTTTATTGTACTGGAATACTAATATTGTTTTCCGAAAAATTCAATGATAGGCGATAGCTGATGAAAGATATTTTCAGATTTTTTTTTCTAAGAACGATAATTGAAAGTGATTATTGTATTATTTTTAATTCTCAATAAATAAAATAGATTTATATGAGAAGAAATACTTCGTCAACCTATAAATAGACACCGAAGACATTTATTATCCTCTAAGTAATATGAAGAAAATCATCAATCCGTACAATTATAATCGTTTACTCGAATTCCGATTGATTTTCTTTTTCATATGAAACTAATTATACTTGTTCACTCACTTTAAGTAAAGAAATTTCGAAACGATTAGAATGTTCTTCAAATCCTATGGAGTCTCGCATTGCTTTCATTTGTTTTGGATCACAATCTGCTGAGAAGCCTAAAATTTGAATATTTTGATTCATACATGAATCAAAAATACTTGACCATCGATCGAGAACATCTTTAGCTGTATATTTACTGTTGGTACCGTAAGCAGCAAGAAGGAATGGCGGTGGTGATATTTGACCGATAGGACATATTGGTTGAATCACATGTACATTGATAAGAGATGATTTGTCTATTTCTTCATACCAAGTTTCAAGTTCACCAAATGAACTGGTAGAAAAGTAGCGTGGACAAGTTAAACCCAAAAAAAGAGTTCGAACGTGAGTCAGAAGAAACTTTTGGTACCACCGCAGTACTGTCTTCTCCACAGAATGCGTACTTACAATCGAATGAATCAATAAAGTCCTTAAAACGTTCATATTGAAATTCACCTTCAATGAAATGCTTTTTAGAAGTTATCAAAATTGATCGTAAAATACTAAAACTAGGAATCGATCCTGGAATATTCAACCGAATGAATTCCTAAACCGTACGGCCTCCTAGAATGTATAGGGAGACAGCGAATTTTTTCACCGATTGTTCATAGCGAACGGCATTTTTTGAATATATGATGTTTGATAACATATTTGATATAGAATCCAATGAAAAATCTGTTAATAAATGCCTTTCTAGACAATATATTAGATCTAATAAGAACGGATATTGCTGAACAAGTTCAGATGAAATTGTTAAAGGCTTGATGTTTACTGCCGATAAAGGATCAGTAGATGAAGGAAGAGCACGCAGCGAACGAATAAATTTTTCGAGTTTCACGCGAATAACAGGCATAACAAAAAATGAATAGTTTCCTAAATTGTTTTTGCTTGGAATACTCAAAAATTCTTTGATTGATGTTGTTTGAGTTGATTCGATTTGAAGAATGAAGAAGACATCATCGACTTCAATCAAATCCATTAAAAAATCGATCAGCTGAAATTTAAGTAATTCGACGGCCTCTTTACCACAAAAATCTTTTACCAAGTAGTAAAAAGAATCTCCACGAAGCGACAGTGCATTAGCTGAAAGAAGAAAATCCATCTGAAATATAGAATTATTTTAAAAAAAATGTTGTACAATAAAAGAGCAGAATAATAAGTTGCCTTTCTAACTTCGAAAAACGTTACGGTTTCTTCTAGTAATTTATTCCTGATAAAATTTCCATCCCAATAGAGTGTTTCGTATGTTAAATCCATTATAAAACCTGAAATTTTTAAACTAAATTCTTGATGTTGATTATAGTCAAGCTTATAATTACCTACAAGATCACAGAAAAATAGAATCTGTTATTAAAGAAGTATTTATATATAAACCTATATCTGCATACGCCATAGAACATTATGAATAAGTGCATTAATAAAAAAAGGAATCATAATGAAATATAAATAATATAGGATTCTATTACGATCAATAATAATATCTTGTTTCTTTTCTCTAATAGAATGAGAACTGTAAATATGTTGTTCTTTTAATTGATCAAGCTTTCTACAATAGCTCACTATTGAATTTTCTGTGAACTGATTTCTGACGAATTGAGTTCTTCTATGTTTGAAGAAATCCATAAAGATGGACGCTTGAACTTAGCTTGATATGCATTATAATATTTTACGTTGTATTTGACTGAATACTATTATTTGGTTTAGTTATGAATATGGTTCTCGAATTCGTAAAACTAAAGTGTTCGAGAATTACATTAACTGATTTTCTCTTTCTACCCTGTATATGTTTTCGTAGCGGTTTCTCGTATATCTCATGCATTTTAAAACCTGTTTTCAATAGCTTTCTATTTACGTTCAAATCGATGAAATCAACAGAAACATTCGTATTATTCATTTGAAAGATATTATATTGAATCTTATCAATAAATAACCATAAATGGATCACAGAGATTAATTTTCATCGTTGAAAAAATCTTGAAAGTGATACTTAATAAAAATGTTTTTGTACACGTACATGGTCGGCACGCAATGCAATTATATCGAAGATTCTTCTTATTGAAAATGAAAAAAAAGACATTCACTTGAAAGTAACTGTTGTTACTCGCTCGACTTAAAGTCAATCTAGATCCACAGCCGCATGTAATGATTGCTAATTGATCACCATTGCTTGTATTTTTAAATTCAATCTTATAATCCACATTTTCTTCTAGTGTACTATCATTTATCAAATTATATTCAACATGATGATTAAAATACAATCATTGAGAAATGATTGTATTTAAATGTTTTCGAAGTTGATCAGTAGATTTTACTTGATTATCAATAGGTGGTGTACCAGATAACGTGAATGAATTCATATTAAAATTTTTGTGTTTTTTTCATATCTTCTTCTAACTTCTTGAGAAGATGTTCCTTCAAATTTTTCAAATGAGGTGATGATGCAGGTTCCATCATTTGTTATTAAACAGGCTATATGTTTCAGTTCATTCAGCTTCTCGCTGTTATATTGCAAAATTTCCGTGGGATCATTATATTCGATAAAAGTACCAGGCATCGCTTATAAGTTGAAGTTTAAGAATTTTTGCTTGAATAGGTCCACAATGGAGTTCAACAAAATTGTAAAACTCCTCGTGTTGTAAATCAAATACATTCACTGGAAGTGTACGAGTATTCACATGGATGGATTCGGTCATAATAAACAATGTAATATTGAAATTTTGCCTGAGAAACAAAAATTTGTTATTGTCTCAAAGATGGTCAGATGAAAATAATCGATCTAAAGAATGACAACAGATAAAAAAATAATATAAATTTTGGATCGCTTCATATCAGCTAGATACACGAGGTGGATTGAATTTTCTCTTTGTCTGTTTTTTTTCATTCTAGTCTAGTTATATAAGAATGAAAAACGCATTCGTTAGAATATTTTATTGTGAATTGTATCACATGTTTTCTATATATTAGTAGAACAGAGAGAAATATATTCTACGCTATAAGATATAAAGAAAATATCCAATGATTGTGTGCTAGTATGAATTTTTTGATTTTAATTAAATAATTTGAAAGAAACTTAAATAGTGATTGAACAAAACTATCAAGTTCGATTATATCTTTCGACTGTAAGAATTTTTTAAAGCTACTGATTTAAAATGATTTATGCTGAGTTACAATGAGTTTAAGCTGATTTATGTGATTTAAAATGAGTTAAGATGATTAAACGGATTTAATTTTGAGTTTTAGCTGATTTAAATCAGTCGATTCCCCTCCTTGTTCGTGATCCTTTCAGTAAATTGAATATAATCTCTTTTTTCAAGTGTGTGTGGATGCTGCTGCTGCGTGTGTAGTTCATTTAGATTTCTGTTGAGTATCGATGTGTGGGTATCAGTTTGATGAGACGAATCTATGACAAAAATCCTCACACAGATAGGCATAACATCATGCACAATAAGCTTGATACTAGTACCAGCATCCACACACACGGTTTTTGAAATGTTGAATAATCGCTTTGTTGAGAGCTGTAAAGAAGTATAAAATACCAAAAGAGCCGAATATTTAGTCGAGGATAAAGCGAGTCACACAGATGAATGTTACATGTTTCTCGCAGTTACAATTTGATGAGATAATTGCAAATAAAGCAAAACAAGAAATATGCCATATATATTTCATAGAATAATGTTCGAAAATTCGAGAGACTTTTCATAGATCAGCAATGTTTATCTTGAGATTATTTCTACTAATGATTTTATCATGAAGAAGATAAACTATGCAAAATATTTCTCGTAATCTTATTTAGTAATTAAAGACTGAACTGATTAATAGCACAATTTAATAAAAGCCATGCTTCCAAGAAAGAGATGATCCGTAACATATCCAAAAACTAGTTTGATCATTACATGATTTTTATACATGAATTAGTTGAAAAATCATAGACGAAAAGTCACATTTCTCATTCAATGTCTTCACCTTTCTCATACATCTCTATCATAGTAAACATAAACAAAAAAAAAGAGTTAAAAAAATAATTGTTGTTAACAAAGATAAAGACTTTGACTAAAACAGATTTCTCGTCTTGTAGCAATTTCGATTGCTATGAAGAGAAACTTTCTCTCTCTTACTTTAATAATTTGTCTTGTCTCTATTTTAGACTATCCATTACGTTCTCCATCCAGCATCAACATTCATCCGAATGCTCGATGGCAACAAAATGGTATCACTGTGGCTGGAGGAAATCGACAAGGCAATGGAATCAATCAACTCTCATACCCATGGGGTTTGTATGTTGATGATGATCAAACAATCTATGTTGCTGATCGAACGAATCACCGTATTGTGGAATGGAAACGTGGTGCAACAAGTGGCCAAGTGGTTGCCGGTGGAAATGGACAAGGGAGTGGAGATCATCAATTGTCTAACCCATATGATGTGATTATCGACAAAGAGAGAGATAGTCTCATCATATGCGATACTTCGAATAGAAGAGTGGTTCGATGGCCTCGTCGAAATGGGACAAGTGGAGAAACAATCATCTCCAACATCGATTGTTGGGGTTTGACAATGGACGAGAATGGATCTCTCTATGTTATTGACAATGGAAAAGATGAAGTGAGACGATATCGAAGAGGAGAATCTCAAGGAACAGTGGTTGCAGGTGGCAATGGATATGGAAATCGTCTCGATCAACTCTCTTGCCCCTCATACGTATTCGTCGATCGAGATCATTCAGTGTACGTATCTGATGAGATAAATCATCGTGTGATGAAATGGTTGGAAGATGCAAAACAAGGCATTGTCGTGGCTGGTGGTCAAGGAGAAGGAAATGATCTTACACAATTGTCATATCCTCAAGGAGTCGTTGTCGATCAATTGGGCACTGTCTATGTGGCTGATCGATGGAATGATCGAATCATGCGTTGGCCTAAAGGAGCCACACAAGGAAGTGTCATTGTTGATGGAAACAGTAGTGGAGGACAATCGAACCAACTCAATGGACCCGTCGATTTGTTATTTGATCGACACGGGAATCTCTATGTTGTCGATAACGGAAACGCTAGAGTCCAAAAATTCGAACTTCAATCCAATCCAAAGTGAACTCTAAAACACATATAAAACATTCGAAAAAAACTTTCACGAAATGACTCACCCAATTAACTAATTAATTAATTAATAATAATAAAAATTAATTAACACTATATACTAAGTATACTATAATGAACAAATGAAACAACGCTTACTAGATGTAAAAACACACACATTCTATAGTAGGAAACCTGAAACACACATAAAACGGAAACAACAACACACCACGGTAGGGATGCACCAATTCCAATTCCAATCAATTCCAATTCTTAGAATT